ATTATAGTACTCTATAGGTTACCTCGTATATAAACTCTCGCTTTAAACTTTACTAATCGTCCGTTTAAATTACCCTTATATTTAAATACCTAGGTAAGAGGTAAGAGTTTAATTATTTTGTCTACCGTTATAGTATTAACCTAATTAAAGGTATTTATCTTTAGGGCCTTATTAAACTTAATAAATCTAGCTTCTATAAATTCCTTTATAAACTTATACTTCTTTATAGCCTTCTAGCTACGTAGCTCTAGTAGAAGGTTAGCAATTAATAGAGCGACTACTAATACTAATTATTTATTATAGTAGCTTATTAAGGGTCGTATTACTAATATATAGTATAATATTATATAAACTATAGCATTAAACGATATAGTAGCTATAGCCTAATTAGAGCTATCGAACTTTATAGTAAATCTAGTTCGAATACGCTTGCTAGTCTCTTCGTTTCGTATATAATAAGGCTCTCTATTAAACTATTAAGAATCCTTAATTAGTAGCGGTAAATTAGCAAGTTGTTTACGTAACACCTTAATTAATAGCACTTCGTTAAGTATTACCTAGGGTGCTACCGGCTATAGTTCTTACTATCGTAGTTAGTTATCCGTATAAATTAGCTTAGAGTTATTAAGTATAGAATTAACTATAACGCGCCTAATCGCCTCTTCTAATAGTAGAGGAACTAAATTAGGTTCTACTAGAAACTCCTATCTCTACTACGAAGTATTAGTATTAAACTAGGCTCGTTATAGTTTAGTAGGCAGTTTATCTCTAATACTATAAGTGCGTAGTCGCTTCCGAGTAGTCGTTAGCTATTTAGTAGGCTATTTATATTTAGTAGGCTATTTAGCACTTAGTTAACTAGCATTATCCTTAGATAACTAGTTATCGTAGGTTTATAGACTTAATTAATAAGGCGTTTAATCGTTCTAAGGTATTAGCCGAACTTATAGTAGTAGGAAGTTAGCTAGTACTAATTCTAGAGGTAGATATTATTTAACCTCTAGCAGCCTTCTATTACCTAGTTATAGATTTACCCCTTTAGTAGTAAATCGTATAGTATTAATCGGTATACTATATATATATAGAAGGTTATCGAACTAATAATTAGAAGCTAGTATATATATATAGCTATCGTTTACTCTAATATCGGCGGCTATCTTATTATCTATTAAATTAACGCCGAGATTAATATTATAGCTATTATAGAACTAGTATTTATTAAATATAATATTACGAGTACGGATTACTAAGCTCTTTAAGAGTATCTATACGCGATAGATACTATATCCTTCGTATCTATAGAGGTAGCTAATATACGTTCTTAATAGCATCTTCTAGCGTACTAGTAATACTTATTTATAGGTTCTAGTTATAGTAGTAGTACTATAGATTAGAGAGTATACTCGGCTTCTAAACTAATAAACGTATACTACCTTAGGTTTATAGTTAGTTGCTATCTTAAAAGGTAAGCGTATTTGCTAATTACGATTCCTTAAGCGTAGTATACGGTTAATTAAGAAGTATACTATATATACTGCCTCCGGCTATAGGTTATATAGAAACTCTATATATAGTATAAGTGAACGTACTACTATAATAATAACTCCTCTAGGTCGTTCTACTAGATCCTACTCTAGAGTATATAGTACGGTTAGTTACTATATTATCTATAAATAGCGGAGGTAAGATTAGAATTTAAGGCTAATACCTAAATCGTTATTAGTACTAAATATAATAACCTCTCGTCTAAGCTTGCGAATAAAGGTTGCTAGTTCTTAATAAGTACTAAATAATACGTATTTAGCCTTTAATAGTAAAGTCTATATAAAGTTAAGGCTAGTATAGATATTATAAGCGTAAATTAGGTACTTATAGCTATTATACGCTATATCTAGCTCAATTACGTCTATAGTAATATATCTATAAGGTGTCTTAATTAATACTATATAGTTCCGTAGCCTTCTAGATATAATACGCTTACCTTTAGTACGAGCGTATATATCGTAGTCGTAGGTTCGTAGAACGGTATTATTATCTACGGATTCGTTACGCACTAGCTTAATTCCGATTACTTTGTTTGCTAGTTCCTTAATACGCTCCCTACCTACGTAACCGAACACTTCGTATAGTCGTTTTAGAGTAAGAGTTCGTATTAGTATTAGCGTACGGCTATTTAAGTTAATAGTACGTAGTTATTAGAAGGGGTACTACGCTAGTTATCTATCCTATATTAGCTAAACTAATAGTACTAGATAGCTATTACCTTTGTCGTTTATATTAAAGAA